AAAAATAAGTATAAATTTTGGAAAATAATTTTCTTTAGATTCAGTAAAAAAAAAACTTTTTTTATTATTTTTATCATTATATAAAATTTTATCCATTAAAATATGATGTAAACATATTTTAGTTTTAAATTTATATATAACTGCTAAGGATGTAAAATTTATTTTTTTAATTTCTAAGGACGTCATTGACAGATTAAATTTTTTTTTATCAAATATAAATATAAAATACTAAAATTTAAAATAAAATGAAATGTCTAAAATTTTGAGACAATGTCCCTAACGACAAATATATATATATATATATATATATATATATATATACATAAAATTTTAGAAAAAGTTTAAAACATAAAAACTTAAAAATAGCGTAAAAATTTAGAAATAAAACAGTTAAAAGTTATAAACAAAAAATTAAAGTATTTCAAATCGCTATTGATAATAATTAGGCAAGGTGATTTTTATTAATTTCTCGAACTCTAGTATTTTTTTACTAAAATTCTATATTTTGATATTTAAAATCTTTTTTATATAAAAAAAATATCCAATAATGGTTGTAACTATATAATTCTTTTGATTAAATTATTCTTTATTTAACAAATTTAGAATAGAGAGAACAGTACCTTTATATTACGGATATAGATCTAGTGCAGTTGACGTGGGAACTGAATGTGCAGTTCTTCGTTCGCTTAAGCCAATTTGACAAGGCTTAAGCAAATTTTACAATTTTTACTTAAGCCCATATGCCCTAACTTAAGCAAATGAAGGCTTAAGTGAGTACAATATGCATGGAGCGAAACAATGAATTAAAGCGAGTGTCTGATGCGCTTAAGCTAAAATATATGCGCTTAAGCGAGTCAGGACTTAAGCGAGGTTATAGTGGCTTAAGCGAGGGACTAGAAAACCATTTACCTCTTAACTTTTAAAATTGCGCTTAGGACTTAAGCGCTCATGTAGTGGCTTAAGAGAGTCAAGGAACTTCTAAAAGGAAAATTATTTTGGAGGAGGGGCAATTTGTTGAATTTATAGAAGAACTTCAGAGGAGAAAATGGAATACATTGGCTGACCCACCAAATAAAATTGATGAAGATATAATGAAGGAGTTTTATGCTAATGCATGGCCCTTGCACCCAAAAAAATCTGAGAAGAAGTCTTGCGTTAAAAGGATAGCCATCTCCTATGATAGGGATGCTATCCATGTATTGTTGGGGAACCCTCTCACCTTACAAGAAAGGCAGTTGTGCGAATACCAGCAGAGGAGGCGCCTGACCACAAGATTTAATGATGATAATGTAGCAAGGTCCTTATGCATTCCCAACAAATCATATGAAACTAACTATCAAGGCAAGCCAAAGAGGTTCAAGAGAGGAAATTTGAAGACATTGACTCAAATATGGATGTCATTTCTCTTTGCACTCACATATCAGATCTCCGCATGCCTTAGGCTTACCTTGTCTTCAGCATTATGGAAAACCTCGCAATCAACATTGCAATTGTGATCTCTGAGGAGATTCACCATCTTGTTATGTCCACCAACTCCCCTACTACATCTGCAACAAAGCTCTTGGGCTTCTGGGCATTAATCACTGCTTTAAATCCAACACAAAGCGACAAGTTGAAAAAATCTATAAATGCCCAGTTCATAAACAAC